AGCATGGACCAATAACTCAAGAGGACTGCTAATCGTCATACAAGATAGCGTAGCCGGGTATTTAGTACCTATTGGTACACTAGATGTCGCGACGATTACCAAATAGCTATTTTGTAACGTTATTTTACATTGACACATTGAATTTTATCAAATCTGCTTCTAGTGATAACAAACACGTCAACTAGATGGCGCTATATTTTACCTCAAAATGGATATGCACCTGGAGTCGTATACAAATACATTGTAAAAAAAAAAACAATCGCAACTCGCAACGTTTCCATCCTCTAAATAATAACTAGAACACTACTTTGTCTATTCTAATGCCATTTAGACATATTGATAGTTTAGCTTAAAATTATTCATATTTCAATGTTACTGGGTGTAAGAAGCGAGAAAAAACAATGGCTACGGTGATTTTAGGCTGAGAACACCGAACGTGCGAAATAATATTTTTTAATTTTATTTGTAATTCCAAGAAGTATGATATCGCATTAAATATCGCAGGTATTGCATTGGTCCCAAAGGGTCATATCGGAACGCCACACAGTGGGCCCAAATTGATAATTCTTGGACATAGGAATAACTTGTGGAGTAGGTATCGAGCAAATTTTTTTTATGTGATATATAATAACATTCCTAACAACTTTTATTCTTGTATGATTTCTTGAAAAGTTGATAGATTCAGAGAAAAAAAAATTTTTGTATGGACAAATATACATTTTATTTTTTATCTCAAAATATACGAAAATCTAATGTGCGTGGGTTACTTACAGTATAGTTCCCATCATTTTCTATGTAGAAAAAAATAATCCGTCTGCATGTACTTGCGGCTTTGTAAATAAAGGTGCGGCAAAATTGCTAACTCTTTTATGTACTTTTTTAACAAACAAAGTTTAAGACAAATATACATTTTATTTTTTATCTCAAAATATACGAAAATCTAATGTGCGTGGGTTACTTACAGTACAGTTCCCATCATTTTCTATGTAGAAAAAAATAATCCGTCTGCATGTACTTGCGGCTTTGTAAATAAAGGTGCGGCAAAATTGCTAACTCTTTTATGTACTTTTTTAACAAAATACATGAGCTTCGTGTAATCTGTGTGTAATATGTCATCCATTACAAACAGTGCATAAAGTCCAACAACCCAGTATAAATTAATCTGAAGGTAATTAAAAATAACGGAAATAAAAAGTATAAATTTTAGGCTAAATAATTATTTAATCATGAAACAATTTTAGGAATACAGAGCTGATTTTTTTCACATGATACATAATAACATTCCTGATAACTTTTATTGTTATGTAATTTCTTGGAAAGCTGATTGTTTCAGAAAAAAAATTTTAGTTTTTTTTTGTTTGGAGAAATAAACATTTTATTTTTTATCTCGAATTGTAGAAAAATGTATTTATTTATTTATTTATTTATTTAAACACTTTATTGTACCACAAGCCACTTTATTGTAACTTACAAATTTTCAGAAACAATTTAAATATTTGTGTACAAAGGCGAGCTTATCCCATAAAGAGATTTCTTCCAACTAACCTTTGAAAATCTGAGAGGAAAGTTGGTTTTTGGGGTGGCACTAAAAATAGATAAGTAAAGAAATGAAATATACTATACTCAATAAATACACAGATAAATTTAATAAATCAAGTGTACATACGAATATATATATATTAAGTAATGTTGATACATTAATACATACAAAGTCTATAATAAATTGAATGTACAAAATAAAACTATAAATAAATATATCAAATGTAAATAAATATTTCAAAAGCTCTAACATGTGAAGTCTGAACAATCCCAAAACTTCAAAAGAGCACCCTTGAAAACCCGAACCGAAGGCGACTGTCTGACCTCGACCGGGAGAAGGTTCCACATTCGGGCAGCATTTACTGTGAACGAGTTCGAATATTTTTAGGAACTGTGTTGTGGAAGGACGAGGGACAAATTGGTGCCAGAACGCAGGCGGTCACCCATAGCCTGTATGTAAAATGTAATGTGTGGTTTATTTACAGTATAAGTCCAATTTAACTTAACTTTTTTATTTATTTTTTATTTAACTGCCTCTGTGGCCGAACGGTTACCATGCCGGACTGCCACGCAGAGGTCCCAGGTTCGATTCCCGGGCCGGGAGAAATATTTGTATGGCCTACATTTATTTCTCTCGTGAGTTTGGGTGTAATTTGTGGTTGTCTATGTGTGTCCATGGCACCCGCAACACAGGGTTTCCCTAGTGCGGGGCTATGTTGAGTGTGTGCGTTATAAAAAAAAAAAATCATTCTCTATCAAGAAAAAAACAATCCATCAGCAGGTACTTGCGGCTTTACGAGTAAAAAGATGTCAAAATGTTAGATTTGTTATTTATTAAAAAATAAAACACAATATACTAGTTTCTACTTAACTTTCGTGTTATTGTTATAACGCTCTGTGTAATTTAGCACTAAAATTAAATTTTCTTTAGTCGAAGCTCATGTATTTTGTTAAAAAAGTACATAAAAGAGTTAGCAATTTTGCCGCACCTCTACTTACAAAGCCGCAAGTACATGCAGACGGATTATTTTTTTCTACATAGAAAATGATTGGAACTATACTGTAAGTAACCCACGCACACTACATTTTCGTATATTTTGAGATAAAGAACAAAATGTATATTTCTCCACAAAAAAAAATAATATTTTTTTTCTCTGAAACTATCAACTTTTCAAGAAATCATACAAGAATAAAAGTTGTTAGGAGTGTTATTGTCTATCACATAAAAAAATTAGCTCGATACTCCACAAGTTATTCCTATGTCCAAGAATTATCAATTTGGGCCCACTGTGCGCCACCGCAAACGGATGACAATTTAGACTTCCTTTAGGTTATACTATATTGCTCAGATTTTTATAGATACTTCCAAGTATTCTTTTATTTTGTTTAGGATTAGCGCCATCTAACGATATTCGCAAGCGTTACGTTATTAATTAGTTAACAACGAACAATGCCATCTATTGATACGCATAAATATCGAAGTTCAGAGAATAATTTTAGTTTATTACTAAATATTTGAAAAACATTACAAGAAAAATAGAATATCTACTATATTTCCTATAAAAGATGAGTTAATCGATATCCACGGCCATTTACGTAAATATAAACTAATTCCAGGCTATCGATCAGCGCCATCTAGGAATAAGACGGCATTTTGACCTTTTTCAGAGCTACGATTTTTAATATGGAGATTAGCATTCCTCTTGAGTTATTGGTCCATGATAATAGATTCGCGTTAGCATTTTCGCTATGTTGCCGCTCTGATCACGTAATGTAATAGTGCAAGAAAGTGATGGGTAACCCTGCCGATTCACGCACACATTTGCGCGTGTGCAGATACCGCATTGCTGTATGTAGGAGTAGTAGGTAAATAATTTTCGGCCGTTGTATGGAGTGTCCGGGGTGTGTTCAAAAGTGTCGTAGTTGCAACACAAAATCGTCGCCTTACTTTCTCAAACTCGTATTTTTTGCTTTGTGCTTTAAAGTTACTGAATTGCAAAAAATGGATGATACATACAAATGTTGCAGGCTGATTTCACATCACATTTCCTTCGTATTTACTCGTTAGCTTTTACCTATTCTTAAAGTAATGCCATTATTAACAATGATAAAAAATTTAAAATAAAAAATAAAAATTTGCCACCTACTGAATAATCACTCTTTATAGGATACAAGTTTAAGAAAGTAAGGCGACGAAATGTATCATCATCAACTGCTGGACATTGACCTCTCTCAAAGATCGCTACAGGTAGGACAAATTGGGATTTATTTTTCCAACTCAAATGCTTTTTCCGATGAAAGGTCTTCAGTGTCGTGGACACTTTTAAATTCCGAACGACTACATCTTTTTGTTACTTCCTTTATATTGTGGCTAGCTAGTTTCCTTTATGAAACTGAGGGAAAAATTCTTTCGATGATAATAAAAGAAACTACGCAATGATACAGTGGGACATGGCACAGACAAGCCACAGGCTGAGCAGTCAGACAGTCAAGGAGTGTAAAAAAGTTGTTGAGTCCATTATGTGTGTCTGTAAGATCCAAGACATAGCCACTTAGCTATATCATTCTTGTATTGTGTGAGATACCTTATCCAGCGCGTCGCGACTTAACTACCTCCTTCATAGATTCTGTGAGGTACCGTACGTTATACAGGGCGTCGCAACTTAGCTAAATCTTGTATTCCTTGAGAAACGTTATTTTGGGTATCGCAATCATTCTTGTATTCTGCGAGGTACGTTATTTTATTAGCTACATCCTTCTTACATTCCGAGAGACATTATCCAGGGCATCGCGGCTTAGCCATATCTCTCTTGTACTTCGTGAGCGTTATTCTGGGCATCGCGACTTAGCTATATCACTCTTTCGGCGAGGTACGTTGTAGCTACATTCTTCTTGCATTCTGACAGACGTTATCCAGGGCATCGCTTACTTAGCTATATCACTCTTGAACTCTGTGAAGTATGTTATCCATTCTCTATCAACTGGCGAGGCCGAGGGCACGTTTTAATATGTGTGACGAAGGTAAACACGGCCATGCATGAAATGACCATAACAAAGTATTAAACATTGCACGTCACATTTTATGCGGCGTTAAATTTATAAGTGGTATTAAAAATTAACGATAGTAAACAATTTGTTAGGTTGCGTTGTGCTAGCGGGTAAAGTCCCTATAATAGCGGTTAAACACGGCGATGCAAACACGATGCAGTCGCTAAGCGTCTGCCTTTACACACGCGCGCGATTTTAAGTAGCGACACAAACGCGATGTAAGCGCACGACTGCATCGATACAAACGCGCGATTGCATCGCTACTCTTGGGATTTATTGGCGATTGCAAGAGAAAAGTAAAAGTAAAAGTAGCCGCGTGTAATCACTTTCATAGTCCCTGTATATGCGATATCAGATTATGACAGGTATATATATAATGTGATGACAATAGTACAAATAAGCGACACACTCACCTTACATATAATCTGAATTCCCTTAATCTTCGCAGGCATGTCCCCAAAGGGCATGAGCTTCCGTCTCCTCACAGGCCCTCCGTCTGTGAGCCATATAGCTCCGACCGCCGTCAAGGGTACATCGTATGGGCCTAGAAGATTGTTTCTTTGGCAGTACTCCTGTAAAGAAAATCAAAATCGTTTAGTTTTGTAAAATGGTCTTCGCCTATCGTTTAGTATTGTCAAAATACAGGATCAAGGGCACGTCAAACTTGAAATTTATTATTTAAATTCAACTGTATGCCGATTGTGATAAGAACGTTTCAAAATCCAAAGTGCATAATGTGATCTTAACTGTAAGCATATGAAAATTATAGTTTGCTATTTAAATATCTGTAACTTTATCCGTCTTATACCGGTTTTACCAGAAACGTGTTATGAGGAAATTTTAGGAAAATTATCATAGGTATGTAAGGTGACAATTTACACAAAGCATAGAATATTGCAGTGTTCAATACAATACAATTTTACAATAAGATAAGTGCTAAAAAAAACTGTTTTAGAGCACAAGGATTGACGTTATCGTACATAAATCACATGTGTTCAATCGGTCATACTCAACTAAATACTCGTATTATGTTCCACACATCACATGACGTGAAAATATCTGCTCATATCTAGGAATGATTTAAGTCAATGACCCTTTTATCGGGTATTAATAGCGAGAAAATTTACTCCGGAATAGAAATGAACACCTTGAATTGATTTTGTTTAGTAGCAGAAGAGCTTTTTTTATTATAATAAGTAAGTGACAGGACGAACAAGTCGTGCGCCTGATAGTAAGGGACACGGCTATCCATAACAATTGCAGTACCACTCAGAGCTTTAAATCACAAAGATCTGAGGGGCACTGCCATTGCGTCCAACGCCTTAAGACATAAGTTGACAAGTCCCATGTGCCTGTATTCATTAGCACCCCTACCCTTCGAAACCGGAACGCAGTAATGCTCACACTACTGCTTGGCGGCAGAAATAGGTAAGGTGGCAATACTTCCCTGGACGAACTCTTTCACAAAGAACAAACAGCAAACAGTAATGTGCGCATAACTGCGTTTCGGTCTTAGGGTCGTAAACCATAACTCTACTCAATACTCAAGTCAGGACTTGAGTATTGCAGTGAGCACTGAAAGTCTTAGTCAAGTCCTTGCCATTAGGGTCGTATTTCCAGTGCTTGAAATCATACTCAAGTTTGCTCAAATCCTGACTTGAGCATTGAGTAGAGTTCTGGAATACGACCCTTAAAGGGACATTGACAAGTCCCACGTCCCTTTGCAGTTTGCAATCGCAGTGCCAATGGCACTGGCTGTTATGGACAGGCGTGTCGTTTACTGCCATGCGCTAGGTGCAAGACTTATTCGTCCCGTAACTTGATATAATTAGAAAAATGGTTTGTTTATAATCATTAGGGCGTTGTTGGGTTCTCTGATGCCCTGACTGTTTTTAATAAACAGTCAGCAATTATTTGGCTACCTCATGCTCTAAGACTGCTTTAATAACCAGACAACTTCACTAATCACCTGGTTGCAAACTAGAGAATTCCCTGTATACCATTGCAGCACCAGAGCAGTATCATATCTTTCGATATAAGTTTTGATTATAGTGACCCTCATCAACCTCTTCTTTATACGGGAAGGGCACTATAACCCGTGCAAGCACAGAGAATTTAAAAGTTCAGGTCCTGACCCCAGATCAGCCCGTGAACAGGATTATCACAGACCGTTGTCACGAACTTCATCCGGTTCTCAGGGGCTATATTCTGGAGCTGTTGGCACGCTCACTTCCCGTTGCACATTGCACAACTAATGGTTACCACCGCTAAGCCCTTGACTCTAAAGTCCACCACCATATCTCCATGTGAAATGAGTACCAGAGCAACGAAATTCACCCCGGGGTACTACACAGAACATTCAAACCAGAACCAAGGACTTCTTCACTCACGCTCAAGGTACAAACCGTTAGTTCACCGAAATCGTCAAATACTATACCATCATGCTAGAATTTATAGCGAATTTTTCTGCTTGGAATTTGCCGTGTGCTGTAATTATTACATTAATCATCTATTGTTTTAACTGTGACAGAAAATATCGCGAAAAAAATATGTTGGAGAAAGTTTACAAAATCTCTTGACACAGATCAAGTTAGTTTGGTGTAATGTCTGAACGAGTGCTTCGAAGAGACCATATTCCTGACAAAAATACAACTTACGTCATTGTAGGGGCTCTCGAGTGGTACGAAGGACAGCTTATAGTTAGTGACAAAGAGAGAGCCGAAGCGGCCCCTGTCGCGTTCGCTGAGTGGCGTCAACATTACCACGCTCTGTGCCGCGCCCACCACCTGCTCGCCTGTGAACAAACACTTTTGTTACTGGAGTCGCACTATGAAGTCTATTAATCATGCTCCATCGTCAATATACACTAAAGTTTGGTAAAATTACAGGCTCATGGGACTTGTCAATTTATGTATATATTTACGGGTGACAGGGGCAGTGGCTGTGACCCTTAAGATCTTTGCGATTTAAAGCCCTGAGCAGTACTGCATCAGCTATGGACAGATGTATCGCTTGCCACCACGAGCAGCTGTTCGTCCCTTCACTTAGGGTCGTATTCCCGAACTCTACTCAATGCTCAAGTCAGGATTTGAGCAGACTTGAGTATGATTTGAAGCACTGGAAATACGACCCTAATGGCAAGGACTTGAGTATGGTTTTCAGTGCTCACTGCAATACTCATGTCCTGACTTGAGTATTGAATAGAGTTCTGGAATACGACCCTTAGTATCATAAAAAAAAACAGATTTTTATCATGTTGCTTTCCGTCAACAGCCAACACGATCGTGTTATTTTCAGAAATCCGGAAGAATTGTTAAAAATAATATAATCCGATTTAAAATTAACCATCTCTCGGTTTTAGTGTAATTAACGTCGGAAAATGTGATGTTGCAAATAATGAGGCGTAAAAACAAAAAAGTTTGCCATTTTACACACTTATACATAATTATGCCAATTTTTGATGTCCCTTTAGTGCTTTTGGTGAGTGACTTGCCACACGTAATATTATTATGTTCTGATGTACTGGGGCCTTACCATGAATTCTTATTACAATTCAGTATAGGTTCGTAACGACAAAAAAGCGGGATGGTGATATATATTTCATGTAGCGCTGTCTCACGACGATTCATTTTTGCTCCTAAACTGAATCGTCTGAATCTGTTCCCGCATCGCACTACAGTGTGCAGTTTTTCATAGAATCATAAAAAAGTTGTTCTTAGTATATATTACAGTAGTTTACAAAGATCTACATCCTACGCAACTAAGTTAAATAGCCCGAAACGACTTTTTGTTACGTTTTAAGCGTAACCCTGACGTCACTTTCTGTTACTGAATTCATTGTAGAACAATAATAATTGATGCAAAAGTGGCATTGACCTACATGAGCATGAGTCAGTGGTAAATATAAATAAATAAACACGTAACTACGTAAATCTGTCAGATCCGGTTCGTTGTATTGAGCAATTTCGGTTTTGAATCTAGGATTTTGTGGAGTGACGGTTTTTAAGTTTTCGTACAGGAGTACTTATAATATTGCCGTGTTGTCCATTTTGTCATGAATGGACGTAACGTAGTTATGACGGATTTTTTTTTTTACATTATTTACATAGTACGATTCAAAAACTTATGTTTAAATTTTAACGTATATAAATTGTTATTTTCGAAGGGATGATATTACACGTGTACACTTCTGTTTACGATCCAACTAGGTAATTGTGTAACAGCTTTCCGTTAACCTATATTTAGTAATCTATTTAATCACGACAATTCTTCCTTATCCTTACTAACTATAGTATCTGAGAATCGTGTTGCAACTAAGATGAACGATTCTCCGATAATCGTCGTATTTCTACCGTTACATGAAAACAACCAAGGGTTTTATTCCCGTTTTCCATTCGACATCTGTTCGAAACAATTATGTACTGTCAAATAAGTACCTAATACTCGACCAAACCAAAAGACAATGCCAAGTAAGAAGCTTCATTCGCATCATGCATTTTTTACTTTGGTCGACTATTAATTGTTCCATGTGGAGCTGAGTACACGGAACTACTGGGAATAAACCATTCTTGCGGACGGATGTCGGATGGAGAACAGCAGTAGACCCCCTGTGCCGGATTTATGGTGCAGGGTCTGCGACGCTCGCGGCGCAAGCGCAGTAAACGTGCTATTGCTTCCCAACATTATAATTGCACTAGATAAAATATAACTGAAAGTTCCATTTTGATTTGCGTGTCTACTAGAGGGCGCCAGGGTATTGATTGCAGCCGGACGCTACATGAGCTAGCGCCGGCGCTGAATACAACAATCAATTCACAAGTTTGACACGAGCTGCAGCTCAAAATGTGAGATATTAAACCGAAAATTCAATACAGTGTGGGTGAAGCACATGGCTTATAAAGCCCTACGTGTACAATACAACAACGTTTTCAGGCTGGTCTTGGATCTGCCGAGATGTTGAAGTGCGTCAGGCATGTTTGCAGAGACGCACGCGGGTGGCTTCCAAGCCATAATGCGAGAAATATTGTTTCGCTTATGGTTCGCATCGGAAAAAATTATAACGGCATCCCGAAAATGGTTGCAGGCAGGTTCGGTGGTCCAATAAAAAAAATCTGTGTTTATATATGTATATTAAATAATTACTTTACATAATAAATAATAGGTACTAATCTACATTAAGTTAAGCCGTTTTACGAAGTTAAGTTAAAAAATTTTTAGTAACAGTAGAGCTCTTCGTGAAAGTGTTCGATCAGAGAAATATTGCCACCTTACCTATTTCTGCCGCCAAGCAGTAATGTGAGCATTACCTACTGTGTTTCGGTTTTGAAGGGTAAGGGTGCTGGTGAAATTAGCGGTACGTGTGACGTGTCTCCCAGATCTTTGCGATTCAAAGCTCTGAATGACACTACAACTGCTATGAATAGGCGTTTCGCCACCAGGCGCACTTGTTCGATATTCTTCTTAACAGTCAAAAAAAAGGGTATTTCACAGAGCTTTGCTTAGGTGGCGAAAATTTGCTGCATATCATCATCATCAGCCTATTGCAGTCCAGTCCAGTCCTATTGCGTATATTGTGTATTAAAACCATGATCAACCCACTAACAATTTAATTTTCTTTTATGTCTGTATTCGGTTTCTATTCTAATTATTATTATATGTTTAAACATAACTAAATGGAAAAATGACGTCAGCGAGCTGATTATCGTATCCGCGATTACCTCTAGGTTATAGCTGAAAATCAGCGGTTTGCTCTTGAGTAAACACCGACGCTGAGTTATGACCTTTTTGCACTGCTGCAGCACACGTACATAACTGGGTGTCTAGCAGTGCTGCGACTTTGCTGTTTTTGTTTATTTTTTGTTTTGTTTGTGTTTTTTTATTATTTTTTTGCTGTTATGTACGTGTGAATGTAGTAACAAATAAGCGTTTTATCTATCTGTACTTGGTATTACAAAAAAAGTTTTACTAGCAAGTGATACGGATCTGTGACACCTGAAATTAAGAAATACTGTTCTATTTTACTGCTTTGAAAAAGTTAATTAATGTAATATTAATTTTATTCAACATCATGATGTTTTTACTACTTGATACAAATTACAAAGATCGAAGAAACACAAGGAAAAATTCGTTCGATTTGACTGTACTCGAACCTCGTCTTCAAAGGCGTCTGTTGTCTCATCATGGCTACCGCTCCAACTGAGCTACAGTCAGGGTCAGCAGACCTTACGAATTTCTCCATGTGCTTGTTGTAGAGTTTTGTATTGGGTTGAAACGACTTTCATTGCCGTAGCGCGACATGTTACGACAAGTTAGTTTCATGTGGATATGGCTCCGTCGTTTTGCGCGCGATTTTGCCAACGCCAGGTTTGGGAGACTCATTAGAATAATTTAGCGGTTATTAGACCAATTGACGGTTGTTGAGAATAATAAAGATTACTAATGTCAGTTAGTCAGAAGAAGGACGAATCCGGGAAGCTAGTAAAGCAGTCACTTCAACGATCTGCAGATTGAGATTAGGCCATTTCTGTTCTTCTATGTTTCTTTACAATATCCGTGTTAGAGACAGCTCTTTGTGTGAATGTGGTTTGGATGAGGGTACCCTTGATCACATTTGCTTCGAATGTCCTAAGTTGACTTCCTCCTTGTATGACATTCTTCCCCCTTGTGTTCCCTGCCCTATTAACCTTAATTCAATTTTCTTTATGTGTTTCCTCCTTTTATTAACGTTTTGTGTGACTCTATCCGCTCTAATATTATTATGCTCTACTTTGTTGTTTATCCATGATTGTTCTTTTCCACCTCAGGTATGACCTCCACAACAGCAGTTCGTCGAAGAGGTTTTTCCAAAAATAAATACTTTGCTGCTGCCTTAATGTTGGCGTTTTTGACCAATATTAACTGACTGCACTCTTAAAAACTGTTGATCAACATTAATTGACAGCATTCTTCGAAACTGGCCCAAGCCTCATAATCATCATCGTTTTTGCTGATCTAAGAGGTTAGACTTTATGAACCGTTTGGTATACTCAAGTCATTTTTTGACAATTTTGTCGATTGGATCCTTGTTGCTTAACTACGTCCAATTTATTTATTTTTTACAAACTATATTAAACCCATTTGAAAAATGTATATCGTATAGTATACGTGTTCTATTTAATTCAGTTGATATTAAAAAAAAACATTGTAAAGTACCTATATTTGAAGGCCTCCGTGGTCGAGTGGCTTGCACACCGGTTTTCATGGTGTCGCCATCTCAGAGGTCCCGGGTTCGATCCCCGGCCGGGTCAGTAGAAAAGTAACTTTTCTATATTGTGTCGGGGCTGGGTGTTTGTGATACCGTCGTTATTTCCAATTTCCATAACACAAGTTCTTTAGCTACTTACTTTGGGATCACAGCAACGTATGTGATATTGTCTAATATTTATATATATTTGTATAATATTTATTGAATACAGCGCTTTTCTAGTAAAATTTCGAGGTAAGTTTGTGTTTGTTTCTATTATAAAAAATATAGAAATCGTGTTTTCACACCGTATAGTGTATATCCACAATTTTGATATATATCTTTTCCAAATTGATTAATTCAACACTTTCACTGTTATGCGGAATCAATTAAAGCCATTTGAGCTAGTATAGATAGACTCTTATGGAAATAATAATATGGGCGAATCGATCTACATATTGAGTAAATTTTAAAATGTTTATGTGAATAACATATAGTAGACCATATTGCACATTCCAGCACGACTCCAAGACAGTTCAATGTTTTCAATCAAAGCTAAGATAATAAAGGTC